TAAGATTAACAAGAACATTTATTAGCTTACATATGCCCAACTTAGATTTTACACAAATTGTGAAATTATACCCCAACTTACGCAAATTCAACTTACGCAGTTATTGCTCGGTCCCACCTGTCGTGTAAATTCGGGCTATTACTGTACAATATCACTTTCAAATGCTTTATTGTGAAGATCAAATTTCCCCTAAAGTTCATTTCAGTCAAAAATAACAAGATGTTTTTGTCATTGGTTGTCTAGCATATGATAAGTATTTGATTAATGTTGGTTTACATGTGTACATCATTATTATTTTTTTTAAATGTTTTTTCTTACAAGAATTCTAAGTACAGTGGTACCTCAGGATACGAAATTAATCTGTTCCAAAACAGATCGTATCATGAAAATGTTGTAAGGTGAATCATTTTTTCCCATACGATTACATGTAAAACCAAATAATTCGTTCCAACACGAAAAACACACTCAAATTAAAGCTAAGTAGTACATTGAAAAAAAATAATAATAACTATAGTAAGGAAAACACTGAAAAATGCAAAATGCATTTTGTAGTTGTAGATATATATATAACCATAATAGAATAATAATTGATAAAAAAAATGTAGTTTTATTTGCACTTTACCTTTGAGGATAGACAACGGTGTAGGTGTAAACTAATGGCAGAAGAGAGGGAGAAGGAAAATGATACTAAAACTTAACTTTCATAACATAATGTAACAATAACTTAGAAAAGATAAAAAAAATAGTGTTGTTTTATATATATATTTTTTAAAATTTTTATTCACTGCTTTTTGCTTCCTTTCCTACTAAATCCTCTCCCTCTCCTGCCTGCGGGGGAATTTCGAAAAATCCCTTCTTAGTGTGCATTCTCATGGCATATCCTACTAAAACGCAGATAAAAACAAAAAAATCACATCTAAAATAGTACAGTAGAAGCCGTTCTTCTGGTTAAGCCTTAATCCTCTCCCTCTCCCCCGCAGAGGAATTTCAAAAAATCCCTTCTTAGTATGCGTTTCTGTGACGTACCCTAACTGTCTACCAAATTTCACCTCTTTAGGTTAAGCGGTCTGCTCTGGGTGATGATGAGTCAGTGAGTGAGTCATTTAGTCAGTCAGTCAGGACAAGCAATCTATACTAATATTATAAAGAGGTAATGTTTGTATGTATGTATGTTAGTTTGTATGCAGCAGGTAATCTCCAAAACTACTCATCCAATTTCAAAAATTTTTTCACCAATATTTAGAATGGAACTTCAGGATGGAAGTAGGCTGTATATTATTCCGTTAAACATGGGGGATGGACAGTTCTTTACGGTAAGCCTTACAGGGAAGGTTACCGTAAAGAACTCTGCTTCTATTTATACTATTTTAGATGCGGTTTTTTGCATTTTTGATTGCGTTTTAATAGGGTACGTCAACAGAATGTACACAAAGAAGGGATTTTTCGATATTCCCCCGGGGGGAGAGAGACAGGATTAAGGCTTACTGTGAAGAACTTCACTTCTATTTATACTATTTAAGATGCGGTTTTTTGCGTTTTTGATTGCGTTTTAATAGAGTACGTCAACGGAATGTACACGAAGAAGGGATTTTTCGATATTTCCCCCGCGGGGGAGAAGGACAAGATTAAGGCTTACTGTGAAAAACTTGGCTTCTATTATACTATTTTAGATGCGGGTTTTTGCGCTTTTGATTGCGTTTTTAATAGGGTACGTCAAGAGAATGTACACTAAGAAAAAATTTTTCGAAAAATTTTCCTTCACGGGGGAAGTGTTATACATTTATAATAGATACATTTTGAGCCACAACAAGGCGTGGCAGGGTCTGCTAGTTTTATATATTTAGATTAGCTGTGCAATGTGTGCTATATATATAATCAAAAGGTCTTCTGCAAAATTGTCAAAAATACTTTCATTTGCTGTAATTAAAATTAAAAATTTTGAAGTAAAATGTATCTGACAATTATATATAAACATATATAATTGTCAGATGTTTCACTGATTATATATATATACAGTGGAACCTCTATATTTGTCATTAATCTGTTCCTAAGGTCCTAATGAATATGGAATATGACAAATATAAAAACAATTTTTCTCGTAATAAATAACTGATATTCAATTAATTTGTTCCCATCCTGACCATCCTGAAAAAAGGTACAAGAATAAAAATTGTTGTTTGTAAAATGTTATCTTTATTGTACTAAATAAATACAGTGTAGTGGTGGAAGTGGAAGAACAGTATTATTAACATCATATATTAATAATAGATAAAATAAATTGTTTAGAAGAAGACATATCATATAAAACATTAGGCAATTCCAATTATGATCATGGGGTCTGTTTTGCTGATGATTCAGTAGTACTCAATTTAAGATTTAATAAAGAACTTGTTTATTGTTGTGTGTTTTTATCTGCTTTTTAAAACTTTTCTTAAGTAGGCAATTACATTATCATTGAATGTATTTGTATTTTGGTTGACTATAGCAACATTTGGGTGTCATTTTGGAGCAATTTGAACTTGGTTTCTCGCATTGGTTATTTTTCAATAACTCAAAAACACACACAACAACCGCACAAAGCAGACTGATTAACTACAGCTAGCTGATTGGCACAGGTGTGTGATTGTAGTGTCACTTCCGGTGTTGGGAACAATGATGAATACAGAAAATACTGATGAATATGGAAAAATAAAGTCATCAAAATGTGACGAATATCAAATATTACAAATATAGAGGTTCCACTGTATATACAGTATTTGATTAACAGTAATGTTTTAGTTTTTATTAATTCATGATCATTTCAATTTTACTTACAATAAAATTAGTTATAGTATAAAACTAAAATTTATAGATATTTTTATTAATAATTATTTATTGTTTTAGTATTAATGTAATTGGAAAAATTTTAATTTCTGTTTAATTAGATCAGAAAACACTTGTTGGTTTATAATCAGCATATGTTATTAAATATAAATGTATTTCATAAATATTTTTTAAACAAAATTGATTTAATCTGTAGAACTACTTTTATCAAATGGCACGAATCAAGATATTCAGAATAAACTATTGATTTACTTCTTTAATTTAAAAATGTTTTAATCAATAAGTTTGCATAATTTATTTCTGTAAATCATCAATATGTAATGTACAGTACAATTAATAATTAGGAAAAATTAATATAGTTGATTAATTTACTAACTTTAGTTGATTAAAATATTTCATTGAAATTATTTTAAAAGTAGATAAATTTTACGTAATTTTTAGAAAAGATAGGATCTATTTTCATTTAAATAAAATTATATAGTATGGTGCAAAATAAATCACTGATTCAAACAGATTCCTCTTTTTGTAGTTATTTCTCAATGGTTTGTTTATAGTTGCAAAGAACATAGCAAAATGTCTGTTTAATCAAATCATAAAGGCAATTTTTCACATCATTTACTTTTTTAATGTGATTTTACATGGCCAGTGAGTTCACCTGATTTGACAGCATTGTATTTTCTGTATGGGACTATTTAAAGGAAAAGGTTTACATGAATAATCAAACACTTTGTAACAATTAAAGGACAACATTCAACATAAAATATATCTTTTCATGTCATGAACTGGTGATGGTTTGATGAGTGGTATATTTACAACATGAAATTGAAAATGTATTAATAACATCAAAAATATTGCAAAATGTAATTGAAATCATTTTAAAAAAGGTTCTGCTTTGTTAATGCTTGAGGTACACATTTATTGGGTATCATATTCCACATGTAATAAGAAAATTTTAAATGAAAATTTCTTCTTAGAGTCCCAGAAACTCAACTTTTGATAACTTAACATTCTGTAAAACTTGTCATATTATTAGAAAAAGAAAAATACACATAATCTAATTTGTACTTCTATAACTTACCACTAGGATCAAATAAGTTATTGTTCTTCACTGGCAACACTTGATAATGACATCAATTTCATGTGTTAACAAAGAATATAATCCTTTCTTCAAGATGCAACTGCAAAATGCCAGGATGTGAATATCACTAGCTCAAAAATAGCCACTGAATAGCTAATATTTTTTAAAATTAAATTAATAGCCACTATTAGTATATATCTAATAGGTATATGAATTTGTACCTAGCACATATAATTCCTTTACAAAAATTCTGCTATTTAGATGAGTATCACATAAAACTTGTCACTTTGGTAACTCATCACCTTCTCAGTCCACAATACAGAGGTTAGGCCCAACGTTTTCATTGCAAAAATGTGAACATTGGATTTCAGCGCTGCCATCCTGTAAGCCTAGAAGTCTTTGACAATGACATTTGAAATGTCAGTGGAATCATGCTTGATGTTCCAAATGCCATTGTCAAACATCTAGGCTTACAGGATGGCAGCACTGAATTCTGACGTTCACATTTTTATGATGAAAACATTGGGTACAACCTCTCTTAAGTCAAGTTTGCAGGACTCTGCTATGCCTTGAAATTAAAAAAATAAACTCTCCTTTTGTTGTTTCCTGTATAATCATAATAAATATGAGGTTTTTTTCCAATTATCAATTTTCTAAATAATATCAAATGCAAAAAGCATCATTTGTATAAAGATGGTTTTGTATGGTTTTAAGCAGTATTTTCTTACATTCATATTGTAAATGACCATAATAAATGAATTTACTGTTAGGTATTATTCCCATAAAAGAATTAAACTTCAGATAATTATTATTAGTTTTTTTATCAATATAAATCATTACTTTTTTTTTTTATTTATACACCATGTTAAAGTATATTTTATAAGATTTTAGGAATATGATAAAATAACAATAAATTTCATCAAAAGAAATAAGAATAATTTTTAATGAAGTCTTCATATTTAAATACAGAAAACTAATGAAATCATACTTTAGTAGTATTTACTTAATATTTTAAATTCATAAAAATATGTATATTATTATATATATTTTATTAAATATGGATTTTAATAATAATATCAAACTTATTTTTTTATTTTAGCTTATGAAGTATTATCTGATGCAGAAAAAAGGAAAAAATATGATCAGTTTGGAGAGGCTGCATTTGAAAATGGTGGAAATGGTGGTCCACACAATTTCCACTTTAATTTTGATGATTTCTTTCATCACTTTGATGATGCATTTGCATTTCATTCTGGCAATCGTAGAGGACATGAAGGACATCATCATGGACATGGTTTCAGGATGCCATTTGGAAGCAACGGAGGTTTTTTCAATTTTGATGATCTTTTTGAAGATATGAATCCAGGGGCTGATATGTTTGAAGAATTTGGAGGCTTTGAACCATTTGGAAGTAGAGAGTCATATTTTGGTGGTGGTCATTTTAGTAATGATATCCATAAGGCACAATATCATTCTTACCAACAGAGATCAAGTATGTATATAAATTTTTATGTTTAATATATAATTTTTACTTAAACTCAAATATCATTTTTAGCCTTAAATGTTCTTTGCCAAATTAATCCAAATTTTTAAATTAAGTAAATTACAAACATTTCTCTAATACATAAAACACAATGTAAGTAAAAATTTTATTAATAAGAAAAGTTTTAAAAGTTAATAAAACTACTATAAAAATTATTGAAATGTATAATTCACTATAATTAAATTCACTTTAAATCCTGACTCTATAACATCATCAGAATAAAAATATTTAAATATTGTTCAGATATTTATTATGCCCCATAATAAATATCTGAACAATAAATTAAACATTTTTCATTTTTATGTGAGGTATGAAGAGTTCAGGGTCAAGAAATGATCTATGTAAACCTAACTATTATTTATGATATCCTTTTTTAAAAGTGCTGCATTGGTCTCAATAGAGTACTTCCCACACACTTAAAGCTTTAAATATATTTATTTACACAATGGTGAGAAAAATACATTAACTTTTCTCTGCATGTGAGAGAGATAGAGAATTTATATTTACATAATATCTGAATAAACAAAATTATGATATTGTTTGAGATCTGTAGAAAGATTTTCCAAATCTTTACAATTAATAGATTTTGTCTAATTGCAAGGTGATAGTTGATGAAAGATGGATGACAACTAATGACTTCGTTTGATAGCTGGTAGGTAATAGATGGTCAACAATTAGTTAAAGTTTCAGTTCTTTTGCTGTTTTGAGTAACTCGCACTTTCTTACTCACATGTGAAGTCCACCAGTGGCTAAGTGGTTCCATTCCGTGAACACTGATAGTTCAGTTGTGGGTTTGTACCTCACCAGGATGGACTGGCCATGTGGAGTTTTCTGGGTTTTCTCCACATCTGTAACACCTAAATAGAAGCCAGTTACCCTTAAAAGACCTCCTGGATGGCAATCCCCCTAGGCAAATCACCCAAGTGTTGCATTGCCATAACAAACAAACTTACATGTGTCATCAGAAAATTCTCCCATATGAAACTATTGTTTCTCATCTGTTTTCTCAACACTTTTGGTTAGATTATCAGGTTTAACATAAAAATTTTCTTTATTTTAGGCAAACAATATATATACCTACATTTACATTTACAAAATTTTCACCTACTTTTGCTTTGCTTCTTATTAAATATACCTTATAATAATAACTGTTTTGAAATATATGCATTATTATGATTTATGATATTAAATTTGAACATGTGTGAGTTTACATAATAGAATGTATTTTGTAAGTTGGGAGTTTCTGCATTTAAAATTCTATTATGATTATAATTACATTAATACAAATTTGAAGGTAGTGTTCTCTAAAAGATGAATTTTTTAGGGAGAGACTATCTTTTATTTTTAAACTATGTTTAAAAATAAATAAATACAAGAAATACATAATTGCATTAAATTAATTCAGTTACTTTTGTAATAAAATAAATTGTAGTTGAAAAATATAATATATATTTAAGCATCTCATTGCATTTAGATTGCATTTAGTTTAAGCATCCCAATGCATTTAGATTGCATTAACTTACATAAAATTAACCAACTGTTATATATAGATTGTAAGAAATGAGTTTAAGAAAGAATTACAATAAGTGGAAATTATTCTTGTCTTGAAAATTTAATTAGTCTTGACTGTTGCCAAGATTAATTTAATTTTAAATTTTATTCTTGGTGACTCTTCTTTCTTATGATAATAGAGATAAAACAACATACTTGATGTTAAAAGTTTTAAACTTTAAAAGTAAGATAATTTTTAAAGTTGACTGTATTAATTTCTATAAAAATGTATAAAATATTCATAAATATAATTTCTCACTCAATTTGTGTATGAAAATACACATGTAATTACTAAAGGATAAATTTTTTTTCCAGGTAGTGGAGGTAGATGCCGAACAGTCACACAGAGAGTGGGTAATATGGTCACAACATATACACAATGTTCTTGAAAACCATATTTTTTCTGATTTTTGTAAAGATTAAAAGACCAAAATTATTTTGCAAATCATATCTATGGATTTACATTGCTCAAGAAAATATCTTCAAAATTCTCTTATTTACTAGATAAGAAATTTATAATAATTAAAACAAATTAAAAATTTGAAAGAAATTTGAATCAGTTTTGTTTTTAGCTCCTCAGTTTTTCTGTATAATGTATTCATGTATTTATATAATTTAAAATACATTATCTATAAATTAAATAGTATTGTTTTTATAAAACATACTGTTTATCAATAATTGTTTTTTTGGTTAATAGCATTTCATAAATTATTATTTTTAAGTAATAAAAGTCAAGAGATGACTGTTGTGTTTTATCTTTAGCAAACAATAGAAAAATGTTATTGATATAAGTGAGTTGATTAGTTAATCCTGTTTTAGTCTTAAGCATATAAAATTACTTGTTTTATGATAAAAAGAATTTTCTATTAATTTATATTAGAAAAAAATCCTAAGTTATTCCAATATTACATTTTTTCTCTTGATCTTCCTTATTCATTATATTTAAGTAGACACTTGTAATACCTGTTATTTATCTGTTTCAATGTTTATTCTTATTGAAAATTCTGTAGTATTTTTCTAGTGCAGAATATCTTTTCATAATATTGAGATATGTATCTATGAAGAATTTTGTATTGAAATTATTTTTTATAGCATTGTAATATTTCAAAATTAGCCAAACAATAAGCTTCAAATGATGATTTAAATTTATCTTTAGGATGTAAATATTACTTCATTAACATTTTAAATTATAAAGGAAAGTTGATTGTAAATAGGTATTATACAAGAGTAGTAAATTTATATTATTGTTAACTTTAATATAAATTCCATTAAAAATTTTTGTATATTTTAAAATTTAGTTTTTTTAATATCAAATATCTCTTTGGCATTTACTTAAGAGTAGCATGTTATTATCATTTTAATTGCTATTATTCTTTCATACTAACTGAAACAATAGAGAATATTTTCAATATTTGTTCCTCCTTTTTAAGAATTATTTTTCTGTTGCATATAATACATACCACTTATAGTTATATATAAGAGAAAAGTCTAAAGACTGATTTAAAACAAAATGAAAGAAATATATATGTGAATATTTATATAAAATCTGCTTTAAATATTCTTCCCCTTTGATTTATGCAGTAGATTGGTTCTAAAACAGTTGTGTAAATCAAAATTTTGTGAACCAAGACAACATTTATAAGGGAAATGAAGGAATGGATTCTAACATTTCATATTTTACATATAAATATTAGTCTCAGTTTACACAGTTTTGATTTGTTCTATGAAAGTTTTAAATAAATTACTTTAATAAATTTGAGGATAGGTGTATTCAACATTTAAGAAATGATATGTGTAAATTAGTGCAGCTTTAGTTGTTAATTGATAATGAAAAACAACTTTTCACTAAAATTAACATATTATTTTTAATTGTATAAACATATTTTTAAATAAGAGTTTCTTCTTGAATTCATACCAATAGATATTTTTATCATCATATTCTAAATAGTTGCAATATTGATGTTGCAATTAAAATCTGAACACTTTTGTAAAAGAATATAATAGTTGTGTAAATAAAATACTGTATTTATAAAGTAATAAATTGTAAATATTACAATAAAAAAGAGTTATTAATAATTGTAAATATAATTTATGTTCCTTTGTATTTACAGAGATGTTTGTAAATATATAAATTAGAAAAATGTATACAGTATGTTAAAAAAAATGCACAGATTATCTTATGTACACATTCATTTTAATTTTACAAACTATTACATTTTGATTTCTGTTATCTTTAATTAATACTTTTGATTGTAAATTCTTATCTGATTGAACTTCAAATAATTTAAAATTCAACCAGTATTATTAAATAATAATTTATGTATTAACAGTTTTTATGAAAATAAATGAGCAAATTTGTTCAAAAATATTGAAAATGAATTGTTTAATGTCTTAAAAAAATTGGATTATGAAATTAACAAATTTTAAATCTAAAATTATATTGAATTAGCATTTTGCAAATTAAGCTCATACCTCTCTCAGATAGAATAATTAAGTCTGCTGAACATAGCAGTTGATAAATTAGAGAACAATTTTTGTAATAAAATTATTATTGAATTTCATCAACAAAAAATTTGTTTTTTCTTACGTAGGTACAGTATTTACTGTGTATATCCTCAATTTTCATCTTTTGCTCACAAAACCTAAAATATGTACTATGGTTCTGTATAAAAAAGTTTACCAACTGTTCTATTTGCTATAGCATATGATTACATTTATGTGCAATATTTTCAATAAATTGAATAATTTTATCTTTGTCAAGATTATGCAAAATACAATTTCTAAAACAACTTATTTAACATGAGTGTAATTATCCCAAACAGTAATGTTTTCAGTTATAATATTGATACTTTGTATAAAGCTTTATAATAATTATAATAATCTCTAACATTTCCTTATAATAATCTCTAACATCTCTAACATAGAGATTATAATAATGTTAACATTTCCTTGAGAAACTCAAGGAAATGTTAGAGATAGCCAAGTCAATACAAGATTATAGCCATGCTGATATAATTATAGCCATTTTTGTATGTCAGCTTCACTAGCATTTCCTTGAGAAACTGACATACAAAAATGTCAGTAGCTTAAAACATTCCACAAAGTTATGTATGTCAAAACATTTAGTATATACAGGCTATTTGATGCGACACTAATGATAATACTGTATTTACATAAATCGCTTTGGAATTATTATAAAGATACAGTATATCAGTTATAACGTAGTCAAAAGAAATGAACAACGGTGCTAAACTGCTTCCTTGCCACAGGTAGAAACGGAGGAAAAGTGGTCTAACAAAAGATGGTTGCCATGATCTAGTTTATAAAGATTTCACTTTTAATATTTGCCTAGTTATTTAAAAAGCTAATTTCTAAATCTCCTTGAGTATTCTTTAAAAACTGCCCTGTGGACACTGAGAGAGAGACTTTTTCAGCAAGCCCGTTATTGGGTTCAGCTACACCCATAATTGGGAGTTGGATAGTGATGGAAAGGAGCCCGACATATTTGGTCGAACCCCCGAAAAAGTTGGGTTTTCGGTCTATCTGGAATCAGATCCTTGGTTCCCAGAGCAGTAGGCTGCCACCTTAGCCGTTTGCCATCCGGTCTAGTATCCCTGAATAGAAATACCTGTATATGCATTTCCGGGGAGGGGAAAGTAATGTATTAGAAATGACACTGCTTATAGAAAAGTCTACCGGTTTGGTCTGACAGTGTTGCACGCTAGCGAGTGATTTGAAATCAGAATTGTGTTCGTAACGTTGGCAGCAAAAAGGTGGACCGAACCAGCCGGATCTGTTCATACGGTGTGAGGTAGTACTTGGATCTTCCATCAATAGCATAAAGGTTTAACCTAAGCCAGGGATGGCCAACCTTTTGCATACCATGCGCCAATTTTTTGACAGACGAGTTCAGATGCGCCATATTACTCGAACACTTTATACAATCTTGTGTTCAATGTTAGGGGCTGATAAATACAGATAAGAATAAATCTGCTTCGCTTAGGAGAAAAAAAGGAATAACTTTATTACGCAGTTGAATCAATTAATTTATGACAGTTTATTGAAGCATCAATTTACAATAGTCAACAATAATCTCCTGTACGAGAGGGCTATTGTTTCATGATGGTGCTATTTCTGCCAGAGTCTCGTTTGGTGAAGATTATTCTGCACCACAATTATTGGCACTGAGAACAAGATCAGCTTGGAATAACTTTAATCACAATAAATGTTTTCGGCCATTTACACGCCTGTAAACTGATCGGAAATAAAAATCGCAAGACTCAAAATACGTGCATTCACTAATTTACTATGTGCAGAACACTCATTTTATCTGCAAAATAGACTGTAACGAATTGTGCAACAAATGAACTTGCATGACAACTATAAAAAATTTATTTTTTTATGTAATATATGTAATTTAATCGCAAAAAAAGCCAAATCTGGCAATTTTGCTAAGAACTAACAAGCGCTACTTGTAATCGTCCAATGCGCCACATTTGGCGCATGCGCCACGTTTTGGCCACCCCTGACCTAAGCTTTTTAATATTGCAGTGAAATATCTAACAATTGTCGGTATTACAGTACAAAGTACCGAAGGTCCACCAGTGGCCAAGCGGTCTTCGTACCCTAAACACTGGGATTTCGGTCGTGGGTTCGCGCTTCGCTCGGACGGGCTGGCCACGTGGAGTTTTCCGGGTTTTCTCCACGTCTGTAACGCCTAAATAGGGGCCAGATTCCCTTAAAAAAAACCTCTCGGAAGGCATCCCCCTAGGCCAGGGGTCGGCAACCTGCGGCTCGCGAGCCACATGCGGCTCCTTGGATGTGAAGCTGCGGCTCTTTAGTTCCATACGCAAATATTTATTTTATCAAAAAAAAATTATTTAAAAACGTTCTGAATCGATTAACGAGGATTAGGCACCGATTCTATCTCTCAGCCACTTGTACTCGCTTTTCACCGCACCCCTCCCCGTGACACGCGTCGTCACTGTCGTCAGTCCGTCGGAAGCTCTCGAATGACGCCGTCGTCGGATGTTTCTATTATCTAATTTGTTGTGAAAAACACTACTTATATATGAATAAATAGATTAGTTTTTTTATCAAAAAACTTTATTTATGCGAGTACTATTTATTGTTGGCAAGAAAAAATTTTGTGGCTGTTTAAAAACTTTGAAATTTTGTAAATTGTAATTTTGGCTCTTCCGACTCAAAAGGTTGCCGACCCCTGCCCTAGGCAGATCGCCCAAGTGTTGCATTGCCATAACGTAACAAACAAACAAACGAAGTACCGATGAAAAATTCGATAAAGCAGAGTATAATTTCGGAAAGGACCTGCATAAAACCAATGTGAGCTGAGATAGTGGTGCAACCAGAGCGGGGCCAAAGCCAAGGGGCCTAATATTCTCCAAATAAAAAATGAAAAAAACCACTAGAAAAATTTTCAAAATCTTTTTAATTAAAATTTATTTTTTTTTTTATATATATTACGTCGTGTCTTCTGTTTCTACATTATTTATGAATTAGGGATCATTTAAGGTAGGAATTTTACTGAATTCTCATTCAAAATTTTTTAATCCGTTTAACTTGGCTCCCTCATGATTAAATCTTGAATGTGTCGTCGTGATTTTTTTCTTTGTCCATTTATAAAAAGTAAAAAAAGTTTTATAATTTGTACCTGCTAATAAATTCTATTGAAAATTTTATTCCTACGGTTTTATTATTTCTATGTTTGTTTTGTAAATATTTCAACATTAGCGAGGTTGCGGCCGAAGTTTTCAACGCGAAAACGTGTACGTCGGACATTCAGCGTCGCCTTCCTGTAAGACTAGACGTTTGACAATGGCATCTGGAACGTCGAGCATGACTCCACTGACGTTCCAAACGCCATTGTCAAACTTCTAGTTTTCGCGTTGAAAACGTTGGCCGCAACCTCTCTATTATAGATTTGTGCGGTAATGAATATGAACTTTTGTTTTTTAAACTAATCAAAAGAATCAGCATCTGAAAAAGTCGATACTTGCTGCTTGTATCAACATCCTAATGCATCGCACATCACTAGTTTAAATAAAATAAATTAATGCCAGCATATATAAATTTATAAATTTACTTAATGTTTATACAAGGTATTTCGCATAATAAAATCCATTTTAATTTGGATATATCACTAAATTAAATGGCCTCTCAATATTTGGTATGGAATTTATAACATTATTTTAGGCTTACAAATAGAACTTAGATATTATTATTAAGTGGCATTTTTGCACCTGTAAAATTATCTTTGTGTAGTATTTTAAAAATGCAATATAATAATTTTTATTAAAGGTCATATTATTGATTCTAAGAGCAAAACAAAACTTGATTATCCTTCATTATTGTTGTCACATCGAGGTAAACAATTAAATCAATAATAAGTAACTGGTTAGTTGTAGCAAACATCTATACTGCTTTTAATTAAAATATATCACGTAAGTAAATTATTAAATATGGCCGTTCTTACAGTAAGGACCGTTTTGTTATAAAGAAATAAAAAATTAATGTATTTAAAAATTTTTATTTCTACAACAAAATGCAAATGTCTTACTTTTTAACATTATCGTCCACATACATGCATTATTTTAAACTCTTTCCGCCCTATGGATACTAAGAGGGCCTCTTTTAGCAAGCCATTATGGATTCGGACAGGCCCACAATGTGGTGGTCGGATGGTGAGGGACGGAGCCTGCCATATCCGGACGGACTACTCCCCAAAAAATTCCTGGGGATTTTTCGACCCGTCCGGATCGATCCCGGGTTCCCCAGAGCGGTAGGCTGCCACCTTGACCGCACTTTAGGAAGGATGATCGATAATTTCCCATCTAACTTTTAGAACAATATTTACATTTGTTCAGCGATGTGCGAAGGCACATTATCATGATGCAGATACACACTCTTAATGAGGTTGTGCCGACAATTTCGGTCATCAAGCCATAGTTTTTATTATTTCTCAATACCCGTGGGCATTGATTGTTTCTCCTCGAGGCAGAAAATTGAAAAGATATATATCTTTCCAGTCGCAAAAAACTATTGCCATAACCTTTAGATTTGCAAATGTCTGCCTAACATTTTTTTGGTTTTATCAGAAAATGTGTCATTCAGAGACTCGCTTGCTTTCAGGCGGGTAGTGAAAGATCCTTGGCTTATCTCGTCACTAAATGATACAAACATATATTTCCTCTATGGCAGCGCTTCAAAAATGCCTGAGATGAAGCCATTGTTTTCTGCTTGTATTCTTGTGTATTGGTGGAACCCATTCTGCAATAATCTTTCAATAGTGAAAGTGACTAGTATTAATTCTGTAAAGGACGGATCAGGAAACAGTAGGAAATAAACTTATAAGTTTATCCATAGTAAAGCGTCTGAATGTGTACATCAATATCAGTTTTCAATATGTCGATGATGACTAATGGGAGACCTGAAAGTGATTTATTATGGCTACTTGTTCTCTTTTTCTTAAATAGTTGACAATATTTACGCACATTTTCTTCGCTCACCACACAACTCAATAAACTACGATATATTTCAGTAGGTCAAATATTTTTTGCAATCGAAAAATATAACATTAAGGGCAACCTCGTAATTAGCGATCGACATGCTTCTAGCTATGTACTGTAGATGTTATACGCAAATGGTCCTGACTTTAATTAAAAACAACTCTCGTATTAAAACACATCTGTACTTTTTCTGTTGCTCACTAGTGGCCGAGGATAAAACTTGGTCGTAGGTTTGCGCCTCGCTAGTATATCTAATACCTAAAAAGGCCCACCAGCGTCAAGCGGTTCCGTTCCTTGAACACTGGGAGTTCGGTCGTGTGTTCACCCTCGCCAGGACAGGCTGGCCACGTGAAGTTTTCCGGATTTTTCTCCACGTCTGTAACGCCTGAATAGGGACCAGTTTCCCTTAAAAGATTTCTCAGAAAGCATTATTCCTCGCGTACCACCTAAAAAGACGTAAGTTTGCCATAGAAAGTCCCTTCGGAAGATATTGCATTAGCATTATTCCATCAAACCAATGTTCTTTTTTCCTTCTTATTTTTCTCTTTTCATTTTTACTGTGTGAGCACATTCATGAAAAATTAACAAATAGCATTCAATGTATGTTTAAATTTCAACTAACATGCATGTAAATCTAACAGTTATAAATACTTTTAATATTCAAACTATATGATTAATTAAATTTTAAATATCAGACGACAGTCTAAATTAGTTATAATTAAACTAAATTCGATGTTGTACACATTTTTATGTAAAATAATTTAATTTATAGAAAATACTATGGAAACTAGAAGCTTTACACTCAATCAGCTGATAGATATTTCTCTTAGTACACCAGAAATTGGGGTTGTTAACTTCAAAATTCTTAGAACCGTTTTGAAAGTTATTGTGAGAGAATTAGACATTCATGTAAGTTTTAGATATATATGGTTTATATATTTTAAATAAAAAGCTAAAAAATTGTATTCAATTAGGATATAAAAGCTAGAGTCTTAGTTAAAGATCTCCAGGAAGCAGCTACATTCATGTTGAGTGCAGATAAAAGTTTTATAAAAACATCTCCAAAAGAATCGATTGCTGCAGTGAAAGATGAGGCATCAAAAAGAGTAGTTAAAAGTGAACAACATGAGCCTTCATTTAAAGAAAATTCCGAAATTATAGAAGAAGAGAAAATCGAAGAAATGGAACTCGCAGTGAAAGATGAAGCATCAAAAGGAGAAGTTAAAATTGAACAATATGAGCCTTCATTTAAAGAAAATTCTGAAATAATAGAAGAAGAGAAAATCGAAGAAATGGAACTCGCAGTGAAAGATGAAGCATCAAAAGGAGAAGTTAAAAGTGAACAACATGAGCCTTCATTTAAAGAAAATTCCGAAATAATAGAAGAAATGGAACTCGCAGTGAAAGATGAAGCATCAAAAGGAAAAGTTAAAAGTGAACAACATGAGCCTTCATTTAAAGAAAATTCCGAAATAATAGAAGAAATGGAACTCGCAAATTCATATGAAATCGAAAGTAATATAAATAATGATGAAGGAATCACCAAAGATTTAATAGTTACCAGCTCAACTCATTCAGAAGTTTCATCTAAAGAAGAAATACAGGAAAATGCAGAATTTGGAGAATCAAAAATGGAAGAATTAAGCGAAAAAAGTGGATTTGAATTCATACAAGAACATGTATTGAGTATCATGTCGAGTTTAAAAGGAACCAAATCTCAAATTTCGTCTATGGAGTTAAAAAGCACAGATCAAGAAAATACAGATTATATTGAATCATCTAAACAGATACGAAGAAATGCATCAGATGATATTAGAAAGCGTTCGGATACTTTTTGCATTGGGAACAGATGGTTAGTTTCAAACATGTGGAAGACCGTGAATTTTTCAAAGCGTATTAATGCTCTTGAATCAGGTGTTGAAAAGGTAATCAGAACTTTATTAGATAGTCGCTGATTAAATATATTATTAAGCATTCAAAATTCTTCATATACTCGTAGATTGTCTGTTCTTTGAATGTTCACGCAAAATCTATTGATAGACAAAGACGAGAATTTGAATATAAGAAAAAAACAGATGTAAGTTAGGATAATGAACTAATTTACAAACTTTAAATGAGTTATAATTTCAGTAATTTTAAATTAATTAATTATTCTATCAGAATATAATCAAGATTAACATCGAAGAAAACATTCTTCGTTTATTAGACTCTATTGTAAGTATTTATCTTTAGTTTAAAAATAAAATAAAATACTGATTCATAATCACTTTTCTCAATAATTTAAATACAAGTATTAACAAATAAAGTTACTTTTATATTTTATTATATATAAATTTCATTATTCATAATATGTTATATTTTTTAGCACTTTTTCTCTGATATGCTTATGTTTTTTGGACTATCCATAAATTATGTAACGTAGATATGGTGGTTGGGTAAGCAGGTAATCCTTACGAAACGTTACAAGGGGGTAAAGATGTTTACAGAAATGTTACGTAATATTATAGTCTCAGCCCTTGCGTAACGGAACGATTCATTTTTGTCTCTGAAGTATTGCATAGAGAATCATGCCGTTTATGTCGCTCTTTTATACGTTATATATGTATTTAACAAAATAATGTAACGTTCGGTACTTGTGCCATATATTATCGCTTAGTACAATTAAGGGGATTAATTAATCAAGAATATGCGTTACGTAATTTTGGGTCGAGTATGTGCAACAGCATTACGAAGCATTGCGGGGGTAGAATGGTGTTGAAAAGTAAAAAAAAATAGCGTTAAGTAATTTATGAACAATCCCTTTTTGATAATGGTTTTGCATAATTGAAATAAGTAAAATATAGTCAGACTTTGATTTAGCGCCATTTGTTCATCTTCGAAATTGTCATTAAAAGCGAACCAATTTTAAATAACATTGGTTCTGTAAGTCTTATACCTTGTTTTTATCTATTTAAAGAGTATTTAAAAAATATTATTATTGTATTCATTTCTAAATTAAAAGTGGAATATTATAATTTTTGCTTTTATTAGAATTCTGTCAATGCTAAATTAGAAATGTTTGTACTATCAGAAGAATATCTAACAGACAAAAGTGAGACAGATTCCACACTTTCCGATATATTAACTGACCTCGATAAATTGCTACAATTGAAAACAAAAATGAATGACTTGGTAATTATAACTTAAAAATGTCTGTCATACTTACTTATTTTTGAATGAATTTTTAATGTTTATATACTTGATAACAATTTATAGCTTTATGGGGATAGAAATTTTGAAAATGTTCGTAATCAAGTAGATGTGTTAGAAGATAGACTCACGTTTCTTGAAGTAACTTATATTGTTTTTGTTGTTTTAATCTTAATAAAATTCATTTTTCAAAATCTTTTAACTTATAGAAAAATACCGGCTTGGGCAGTGAAGAAAAGAGTAAGTTATTATATTTTAATTTAAAAAACTAAGTTAAATTCATTATAATATAGTTACTAAATTGAAATTTAATTTTACATAGCATCTACATTCATTGTTTAAATTAATTAGTATTTTTATTTCTTTTGTGGAATTTTGTAGCCTATATTTAATAATGTCAACTTGGATTTATTAATTTTATTTTTAACATAGGAAGAGTGTTATATATATACTTTTTCATAGTTTATAGATTTTATACTATTTATAGACAATTGTCGATTTCGATTTAGTGCCACTATCCGTTCGCTTTTAAAACTGCAATTTAGTCAAGTATAGCGCTAAATTAAAGTATTTCAATTCGTAAACAATAAGAACTACACATAATAGTGCTTGGGTTCATATACTTTTCGTTTCGAATGGATCGATCTGTAAGATCGGATCAGTCTTTGTCATGTGATACAGATCGCTTCTAATATGTGTGTCAGTTGGCGGAAAGTATACAAGTAGGATTGAATTTTTTTTTACTCTGTAAAAAATTGCTTACATAATGGCAAAATGGGAGAGCGCACCCCATGCATTTTACCGTACAATCTCTCAAAACTGTCTCTTAATACTTATTTTTTTTTCATCTCGGTTTATCAGATATTTTAATAATGTATTCACTTACCATTTATAAAGTTTTAATACTTTTCATTGTCGACAGTTAAACATTTCTTTGCTGTCAACTATCAGTTTTACTTTAACCACGGAGGTCGCCATCTTTAATCTTTTTTATCCGATTCAAACGACCCTATCCTTTGCTCGGATTAGCTTTATCGCTATCAAGTTCATAATAGATTAAGTTTGTATACGCGGATCGAGATTAATCAAATCGCTATAGTTCGTTTGTATGCGAGATTTGAATGATCAGATTAATCTTGGATCAGTTTGATTCCAAATGTATATGCACTCCTTCAGATGTAATCCAAACGAACAATCCCAGAAAATTTTTTATGGTGCTAAATCCTGGATACGTCGTGCCCTCGTCCCTTACCACCCGGTCAGTCGCATTGTGATCATGGCCGAATCCACAATAACACGATTAAAAAGTTGCTCTTAGTGTCCACAGGATAGGGAATGGGAAAAAAAACTATACTATAAAACTAGCAAACCGTCTTATAAATCGGTACAATTACAGTAATTATTTTGAAATACAAAAAATATAATTTATACTGTTTTTATTTTAGTTAATTAATTATAAAACGAGATATATCCTTACTTATGTTACTATTGAAAGAAACTATGAAACTATGATAGCAGGTTAAAATTCCTATAAACGATAATTATTATTATTTTTATATTTAGGATCATTCGATTTAGCAACTTTAGGTCGTTTGGTGAGCAAATTTTATCATTTTTTTATAGTTATTAATTTAAAAATTTTCTATTTAGGAAGTTTTTGTAATTAGATTTGTTTTGTCTCGCTATTATTAGTATGAAGAATTAATAGAAAAAGTGCAACCCATAATAGAAAAATTTGAAAACGATGATTTAGGAGACGTAAATAGTTCTAATCTAGTGGGACAAGTTATGAATTGCCGATTAGCATTGAAAAAATTAGCAGTAGATGTTAAAAAACAAAAAGATACTCTTGAACTGTTACAATGTGATTTAAACAAGCAAATAGATAAAACAGAAATGCTTATGTGTGTTCAAGAAAGAGGATTTACTCCAGAGGACAAAGAAATTTTCTATGAAATGCAAAAACGGTTAAAGAATGTGGAAAAAGATTGTGAACAGATTGAAGCCATAGAAGTATTATTGATAGAAGTATTATCAGAACCAGATTTATATAACTTACGTTGGTATAGTGGTCGCCCGATATAGTGAAAAATTTAGTTGATTTTTGTTATTCTTTACGTATATAGTGAATAATTTAGCTTAGTCCTTTGAAAGTTTAATATATCGATAATCCACTGTAAAATTTAAAGATACAGCTTAGGACCTTATTCTACGAGGTGCCATACTTAAAATCAGTATGTAAGCTGTATTGTTAATTGATGTAACGAAAAGACTTCTTTTATATTATAGTTAGGACTACAATAAATCTAAACCTGGTTCTGGTTATTAATATATTGATGAAATATTTTTAATATCATTTAATGTTTTTTTTTAATTTTATTATATTCTAGGAAATGCAAAGTGCAATTTCAGAAATAAAATTCATCAAGGCTAATAAGGATGAAACTGAAAACGCACTTAAAAATGTAATTTTATTTTGGAAGATATATTATATATTAATATATAAAATTATCAAAATATTTAATTTAATTTAAATTGTATTGAAGAAAGCAGATATTCAAGATGTGAATGAGAAAGTTAGCAAGAATGATTATGATCTTATGTTGAACGATGTTACTAATGGCTTGCAAGAGTTGATGACTAAATTTGCTTCTCAAGTATAAAATTGAATTATATAAGAATCTGACAAATTACTATTATTATATCTATGCAATTATAATGTGAAATATTAATAAATAATCTATTTAATAAGTAAGTATAGTATAGGCTAACAAATCTTTTTATGGGAGTTTAGGAACAAGATGTACAAAGAATGATAAAAAATTTAACAGACGGTTTAAATAATAAAGTAGACGCCATTAGATTAGAAGATGTGTCAGAAAGCTTTCAAAAACGCATAAATGCTCTGGCTATTAAAATGAAACAAATGAAAACTATAATGGAATCAGAAGCACCTATCCCCGCAGGGACAAAATTGTATATAAATTTTCTTATATTTTTGTTATAAATAATGATTGATATAAATCTATTTTCTATCATTAGACAAATTGCTAAATGTATTTCTTGTGAAAGACCCACTAAAATTCATAAATTTTCGTAAGTTTAAAATAACAAAACCTTCAATAAATAACAACTATAATATTACTTAATAATTTAAAATGTCTTCAGATACGTTAGAAGTTCACCTTTTGAAATAAATGAATTAAAAATGAATTTGAATGATTCACCAATTGTTACAATTAATAATAAAAAGTAAATTATTTTATAAAATTCTAATTCTTTAAATAATATTTTCTTTATTTATTTACTTTATTTTTTTATTATTTAGTTTTGTTCCAAATACAGAATACACTAATTTAGGAAGAGCTGCTGGTGGATTTTACACAACATTCGATTCTGAAACCAGAAAATTTCCATCAATTAATGTATTTTTTTTTTAAATTATAATTCAATATTTATAAGATTTATTTTATATCTTAATGTTTTTTCATAATATTAATTATATTTTCTAGAAAGAAAGAAATTTTTCTGGTCACTATAAATAAAGAAACAAAATAATATCTACACAAATATGAATGTTTGAAAATTAAATGCTGTAAAATTGATTGTAATAAAATAATGTTAAAAAAATTATTATTATTATATTGAATTTTTGAATTAGAACTGAATATATTTACAGTAAATATAATTTTCCCCCCTTTCCAGGTCCTATATAAAACAGGAACGGATCTAGAGGGAGAGATACGCAACTGTAGGGACGATTGTCCCATCTTTCCCTCTAGTTTTTTATGACAACAGGAGCTTCATTGTTTTTCAAATGTTTATATTTTAACATTTTTACCATTACTTTTCAATTTGCTACATTTTAATATTGTTTATGTATGAATAGGGGATGTTGTAGTTCTATTGTTTCCTCCTCTATAATCCTAAGCTGATAAAATTGAGAATTTCAATTAGCAATTCCAACTTCTAGAAGTTTACGACGATAAAACAATGTTCTACTTATTATCGTAAACTTTTGGATGTTAGAATTGCTGATTGAAATTCTCAATCCTATTAGTTTAGGATTATAGAGGAAGAAACAATTATTTATGTAGTTTATTTTAAGTAATTATAAAAGGTTGTATAACTTTAATATATTATTCATTTTATTACATGAATTAAAAATCGCTTCCTTAAGATTCGTTCCTAGATTCTCCTTTGATATGAAATGAATGAATAAAAAATAATTAAATATTTTATATTAATTATGCAACTTAAAATTTATATTAATTTTTTAAAATTTCAAAATTTATTTACTGGAATTTTCCACAAAATATTGAATAAATTCCCTAAATTATTTCGGATCGTTATGAAGTAATAAATTGGAATTTGTATTTTTTTAAAATGATACCTGTAGTATAATCTCTTTCTTTTTTTTTTTTAAGTTGTAAGGTCGACAACCTATTTGGCACAACAATGATTTCTTACACAAGCCTGCTATCTATGGGATACGTTTTATCTCAATAGTTCAGTTCAAGCACGGAGTGGAGAGTTCTTACAAAGTTGCCTTTGCCATGTAATACGGTTAGAAGTTATATCCACGTGATTTGATTATTGATTATTAAGTCGATGAACACTTGGATTAAAGTAACAGGAAGCTAAATGTTGTACAAAGTTGTATTTGTTGTTTTAGGAATACTTTTCCACATATCAGATTCTTCAAGTAAGTATGCTTCACATGTTTTATCTGTCTAGTTTCATAACTTTAACTGCTATACTAAAACTGTGATTTCATTTGTTAACTTTTAAGCAAATTAGATAATTTGCAAATACAGTAGTTTCTATCTTATGCAGGACTTCAAGCTTTTCATCTTCTCCAGCTTTATATACTGAGTATTTATACGATTTATTTCACCTTACAAATGCAAAAAACCTTGCTTATTTTAGTAGAAATTAAATGCTTTAATCCTAGTTATTTATCAATTTGTAAATAATAAGTAATAAAAAAAATTGATAATAAAAAGATTGATTTTAATCTAATAAAAGATACTTTTAATTAATTTAATACCCATTAAAATTTGCTATTTGTACTTAAACAAATAAAATAATTATCTAATGACATATAAAATGTTGTCATAATTTATATAATTATTAAATCTCTGTTTTATTTATTTTAATTTATAATATACAAAATACTTGTGAGATTTACGCATAAATTATAATTTTCAAAAAACATAATTTTTAAATTTACTATTATTATTATTTATTCAAGTAATTATTTAATATTATAGTCAAGAAATGGGTTATCTAAGGGACATAATTTACATCAAACTCGATTTTTGATAAACAAATTCCATGTTCGATTGAACTTCTACCCTGCTGTTTCCAAGAGGTTAAAGTTCACTTTGAAGATGTTTAGAAAATGGCCAACATTTTAGTGCTTTATCTTAAATAATATCGATATTGACAAATCTTTTCAAGGAAATTTTCTGCATTAGATAATTTTACTTAAAATGACTTTAAATGTTGAAAACTTATAAGAAATTTATAGAAAAAAAATTAATTATTAATTAATTAATTAATTTTTATTAAGTAATAGCATCAACTTATATTTTCATATTTGTTTTCGATTTTTTTTTTTAAATGAAAGAGATAAATATTATCAAAAATATGTCTCGAACACAATTTAAATATTTAGCGATAACATATGATAATAAGTCCTCGAAACCCAGATTGCAAAATAATATGTCAAAAACAAATTTGCTCATCTATATCACTTTTGAAATATAGAATTTAAGTACAATGTAAGCTTTATTTTAGCATTAAAGCATTGATAATAATTAACATAGTTCATTCCTATTTTAACTGCTCAAAATGAGATTGGATTATTGATCTTAACTATAATATAAATACTTTTTTTTTTTTAACCAAACTTTACAAAAAGCGATTCTCGAAAGAAAAAAAAAGAAACAATAATAAATTAATTAAACTTTTCTTAATGAAAAATTAAATTTAAAATAATTTGGAATAGTATTTTTTAACCTTTTTTAATCTTACAAACTCCTTTAATCTATTGGAAGATAGAGTTTTATGATTAAGAGTCATAGTGATAAAAAACTATTAATGTCTAGAGGTTATTTTTCTCTCAGTGAAACTAATGTAGAGACTTTATAATATTCATTTCATATAATGTCTAGATTAAAAATTTAGATTAATTTTTTAATCTAACGAATGTAAGTTGAGAAAAAAAAGTGATCAAGAAGGTGCGAAAGAAGGTGCTTTTTATGGAACGGCGCTCAATCTTTCTTAAAAGTTACCATCTAAAAGCAAATGAAAAAAGATAAAGATTAATTAAATTTATAAGAATAAAAATTATTAGGAAATATCGTTTCGAATCATTTATATTTATTTTATTTCATTAACAAAAGCTTAATTAAATGCTATTATTTGTAATTCGAGAAGCATTTTTAATATTTACGAAGAGTTTGGTTCGAAACTTATATTAATTATTATTATTAAACTTTATGTGGATAGCTAATGGGCTATTTACGTAATTTTTTAATAGTAATTAGAGTTAGCATAAATTCAAAAATAAGACATTTAAGAAAAGTTCAGACAGATTTAACAAAGTACATTTAAAAAGCAAACAATTTAAATTGTACTCAAAAGGGAAATTATTGATAAAAGAAGGATGGGAGAACAATACAGTTCAATGAAATACTTCCCTCCCAAATGGAAGATAGTTGGCAACATTATGTCTTAGGGATTGACTCTTACAAGAATCTACTGTATTAATAAATCGACTGCTGAATGATTGAGACAGTGAAGGTAGGCTATCAGTCTGCGACCGAATCCGAGTCGATTCAGAAATTTTTAAGGATGGATTGCTAGGGATATGTCGGATCTGTCCCTTATCACCAGCTAAACTCGACGTTCGGATAGCCGAGCGGTTAAGGTGGCAGTACACCACTCTGGGAGAACCGGCATCAGTTTCCCAGAGCGTAAACTGGGAAACTGATGGAACCACTCCCTGAGAAATTCCTGGGTTTTTTGACCGTTCTCAGAAGTATCCGGATATGTCGGGCTTCCTTCCTCATCACCCGGCCACCTATTTATTATAAACCTGGTCGAATCTAAAATGGGCATGCCCAAAGGCCCTCTTAGTAGCCATCGACGCACCTTACAGCCGTCGTGCAATAGTAATCAAATTCTGCACGCTGTGCAGAAATTTAAATAAAATCATTAAGCCTACATCATAGCGCAAAGCTACATCATAGAACAGCTGTTCCATCGCAAATGTTGCATGTTGACGGCCGGATGGTCGAGCGGTCAAGGTGGCAGCTTACTGCTTTGGGGACACGAGATCAAATCCGGACGGGTCGAAAAATCCCAGGAATTTTTTGGGGTTGGTCCGACCGGATATATCGGCCCCATCCCTCCTTAACGGCCGATTCATTGTGGACCTGGCCGAACTCATAATGTGTTTGCTAAAAGAGCCCCACTTACTGCCCACAGGGCGAAAAAAGTTTGAAAATATCCTAAAATCGTGACCACGCTAAAATCTAACATTGACACCAATAGCAGTGCAAGTACTAGTAGATATACAGCCAAAAATAGTAACGAGCGAGGTTGCCAAAAATGATTTTGCAGACTATAATTTTTTCACTCTCACGTGGGCCATAGGAGAACTTTTAATCATTCTCTTTATCGTTTCGGCCAAACCTATAATGGTTATTTTGTTTTTAACTCTCTCCGCCCTGTGGGCATTAAGAGAGCCTCTTATAGCAGGTCCATTGTGGGCCCCGGGGGCGCCCCATTGTGGCGTTCGGATATGTCGGGCCCCGTCCGTCAGGACGGGGCCCGACATATCCGAACGGATCACCCCCGAAAAATTCCTGGAGATTCCTTGACCCGTCCGGATTCGATCCCGAGTCCTCCAGAGCGGTAGGTTGCCACCTTGACCGCTCGGCTATCCGGTCTACCTATAACGGCGTAGTACATTTGTAGGCCGTACATGGGGTAGTACATGTAGATTTGAGAGGGACGAGACCCGACATATCCAGAACAGTCCGTTCATGAAAAATTCCTGGAAAGCTGCTCGTTTGAATTCGATCTCAAGACCCCCAGAGAAGTAAGCTGATGCTTAATGGCCTTGGACATCCGGCCGTCAAAAGGTACTGTCAGAAATGGAGATAGAGAAGTCATAATGTACTTTATAAAAGAATCAAATGTCTTATTTTGTAGAAAATTGAATTTCTGATTTTTATAGAAACGAAATGAAACTCTTGTGAACTGTCAAAGGTAGAGATTATTAGGCACCCCAAGTTTATCTAGATTGTCCTATGCACTTATGCGGTGTCCACCGAAAAATTTACGAAAAGAATCCAAATGAGATAATATAAGTCTCTATTTCTGCAACGAATTTTCTTACAACCTATATAATTCAAAATTCAATTAGAGGAAGGATCTCAACGTTGAATCTGCTTTTTTATTTTCTTTCTTTCCGCATTGCATCGATTTCATTGGACGTCATGAAAATAAATAAAAACAGTAAGCCACTGGTCACAGACCAGTGACTTACTATTTTTATTTATTTTCATGCCGGGCACTCAGTATATTCTATAAAATCGGATTTTACTGTTATAAATGTGAAAAAATTTTAATAAACAAAAGCGAAAGCTATACTATGATGTCATATAACAATTTCTTATCTTGTCGCGTCAGTTTATAAATTATACAGTATGTGAAATAGTTTAGTTAAAGCCAAAGACTAAGATAATAATTTTCATATTTTATTGCATGTTTTGAATATTTCAGAAGGGAAATTACTCATAAACCCATCTATATTACCAATACAACGACGATAATCAGTGCTGTATCTAGGCAGGTTTTTTAAAACTCATTCCGCCCTGTGGGCACTAAGAGGGCCTCTTTTAGCAAGCCCATTATGGGTTCGGCCAGTCCCACAATGGTGCGGCCGGGTGATGAGGGACGGGGTCCGACATAACCGGACAGACCACTCCCGAAAAATTCCTGGGGATTTAGTGACCCATCCGGTTTCGAACCCGGAGCGGTAGGATGTTACCTTGACCGCTAGACCATCAAGCCGTAAGTAGCTAGGCAGGGACAAAGGACTCTAAAGTGGGTATTAAAAAATTAAATGAATTATATTTTTTTCATTTAATTTTTTAATCATATTTAATTTTAATCATATTTTTTTCAGCTGTGGGACAAAGTTTCATTGCCGTTATATTTTTGGCTAAAGTTAAAAAATAAGCCACAGTTTTTATCGTATTTGTTTTTTCATATTTATATTTTATATTTCTGTAGGACACATGAAAATTATAGCATTGACGATAATTATCTCTGACTACAAAATATAAGAACTCTGAGCATTGACGGATTTTTCCCAAAATTGCAATTTTCAAACGCCACCTGGCGGTGTTTTTCAAAAAAGATTTGGCCACGTGGGTAACGAGTGATTAGAGATTTTTTACAAAAAAGTAGAGCCATATAAAAGTAAATCAGAAAAAAATATAAAGTTTCCCTTATAAAATGAATATAATTAAAACAATCGTGGATACTATGACCNAAGTTAAAAGTGAACAACATGAGCCTTCATTTAAAGAAAATTCCGAAATAATAGAAGAAATGGAACTCGCAAATTCATATGAAATCGAAAGTAATATAAATAATGATGAAGGAATCACCAAAGATTTAATAGTTACCAGCTCAACTCATTCAGAAGTTTCATCTAAAGAAGAAATACAGGAAAATGCAGAATTTGGAGAATCAAAAATGGAAGAATTAAGCGAAAAAAGTGGATTTGAATTCATACAAGAACATGTATTGAGTATCATGTCGAGTTTAAAAGGAACCAAATCTCAAATTTCGTCTATGGAGTTAAAAAGCACAGATCAAGAAAATACAGATTATATTGAATCATCTAAACAGATACGAAGAAATGCATCAGATGATATTAGAAAGCGTTCGGATACTTTTTGCATTGGGAACAGATGGTTAGTTTCAAACATGTGGAAGACCGTGAATTTTTCAAAGCGTATTAATGCTCTTGAATCAGGTGTTGAAAAGGTAATCAGAAATTTATTAGATAGTCGCTGATTAAATATATTATTAAGCATTCAAAATTCTTCATATACTCGTAGATTGTCTGTTCTTTGAATGTTCACGCAAAATCTATTGATAGACAAAGACGAGAATTTGAATATAAGAAAAAAACAGATGTAAGTTAGGATAATGAACTAATTTACAAACTTTAAATGAGTTATAATTTCAGTAATTTTAAATTAATTAATTATTCTATCAGAATATAATCAAGATTAACATCGAAGAAAACATTCTTCGTTTATTAGACTCTATTGTAAGTATTTATCTTTAGTTTAAAAATAAAATAAAATACTGATTCATAATCACTTTTCTCAATAATTTAAATACAAGTATTAACAAATAAAGTTACTTTTATATTTTATTATATATAAATTTCATTATTCATAATATGTTATATTTTTTAGCACTTTTTCTCTGATATGCTTATGTTTTTTGGACTATCCATAAATTATGTAACGTAGATATGGTGGTTGGGTAAGCAGGTAATCCTTACGAAACGTTACAAGGGGGTAAAGATGTTTACAGAAACGTTACGTAATATTATAGTCTCAGCCCTTGCGTAACGGAACGATTCATTTTTGTCTCTGAAGTATTGCATAGAGAATCATGCCGTTTATGTCGCTCTTTTATACGTTATATATGTATTTAACAAAATAATGTAACGTTCGGTACTTGTGCCATATATTATCGCTTAGTACAATTAAGGGGATTAATTAATCAAGAATATGCGTTACGTAATTTTGGGTCGAGTATGTGCAACAGCATTACGAAGCATTGCGGGGGTAGAATGGTGTTGAAAAGTAAAAAAAAATAGCGTTAAGTAATTTATGAACAATCCCTTTTTGATAATGGTTTTGCATAATTGAAATAAGTAAAATATAGTCAGACTTTGATTTAGCGCCATTTGTTCATCTTCGAAATTGTCATTAAAAGCGAACCAATTTTAAATAACATTGGTTCTGTAAGTCTTATACCTTGTTTTTATCTATTTAAAGAGTATTTTAAAAATATTATTATTGTATTCATTTCTAAATTAAAGGTGGAATATTATAATTTTTGCTTTTATTAGAATTCTGTCAATGCTAAATTAGAAATGTTTGTACTATCAGAAGAATATCTAACAGACAAAAGTGAGACAGATTCCACAATTTCCGATATATTAACTGACCTCGATAAATTGCTACAATTGAAAACAAAAATGAATGACTTGGTAATTATAACTTAAAAATGTCTGTCATACTTACTTATTTTTGAATGAATTTTTAATGTTTATATACCTGATAACAATTTATAGCTTTATGGGGATAGAAATTTTGAAAATGTTCGTAATCAAGTAGATGTGTTAGAAGATAGACTCACGTTTCTTGAAGTAACTTATATTGTTTTTGTTGTTTTAATCTTAATAAAATTCATTTTTCAAAATCTTTTAACTTATAGAAAAATACCGGCTTGGGCAGTGAAGAAAAGAGTAAGTTATTATATTTTAATTTAAAAAACTAAGTTAAATTCATTATAATATAGTTACTAAATTGAAATTTAATTTTACATAGCATCTACATTCATTGTTTAAATTAATTAGTATTTTTATTTCTTTTGTGGAATTTTGTAGCCTATATTTAATAATGTCAACTTGGATTTATTAATTTTATTTTTAACATAGGAAGAGTGTTATATATATACTTTTTCATAGTTTATAGATTTTATACTATTTATAGACAATTGTCGATTTCATTTAGTGCCACTATCCGTTCGCTTTTAAAACTGCAATTTAGTCAAGTATAGCGCTAAATTAAAGTATTTCAATTCGTAAACAATAAGAACTACACATAATAGTGCTTGGGTTCATATACTTTTCGTTTCGAATGGATCGATCTGTAAGATCGGATCAGTCTTTGTCATGTGATACAGATCGCTTCTAATATGTGTGTCAGTTGGCGGAAAGTATACAAGTAGGATTGAATTTTTTTTTACTCTGTAAAAAATTGCTTACATAATGGCAAAATGGGAGAGCGCACCCCATGCATTTTACCGTACAATCTCTCAAAACTGTCTCTTAATACTTATTTTTTTTTCATCTCGGTTTATCAGATATTTTAATAATGTATTCACTTACCATTTATAAAGTTTTAATACTTTTCATTGTCGACAGTTAAACATTTCTTTGCTGTCAACTATCAGTTTTACTTTAACCACGGAGGTCGCCATCTTTAATCTTTTTTATCCGATTCAAACGACCCTATCCTTTGCTCGGATTAGCTTTATCGCTATCAAGTTCATAATAGATTAAGTTTGTATACGCGGATCGAGATTAATCAAATCGCTATAGTTCGTTTGTATGCGAGATTTGAATGATCAGATTAATCTTGGATCAGTTTGATTCCAAATGTATATGCACTCCTTCAGATGTAATCCAAACGAACAATCCCAGAAAATTTTTTATGGTGCTAAATCCTGGATACGTCGTGCCCTCGTCCCTTACCACCCGGTCAGTCGCATTGTGATCATGGCCGAATCCACAATAACACGATTAAAAAGTTGCTCTTAGTGTCCACAGGATAGGGAATGGGAAAAAAAACTATACTATAAAACTAGCAAACCGTCTTATAAATCGGTACAATTACAGTAATTATTTTGAAATACAAAAAATATAATTTATACTGTTTTTATTTTAGTTAATTAATTATAAAACGAGATATATCCTTACTTATGTTACTATTGAAAGAAACTATGAAACTATGATAGCAGGTTAAAATTCCTATAAACGATAATTATTATTATTTTTATATTTAGGATCATTCGATTTAGCAACTTTAGGTCGTTTGGTGAGCAAATTTTATCATTTTTTTATAGTTATTAATTTAAAAATTTTCTATTTAGGAAGTTTTTGTAATTAGATTTGTTTNTGCTTCTCAAGTATAAAATTGAATTATATAAGAATCTGACAAATTACTATTATTATATCTATGCAATTATAATGTGAAATATTAATAAATAATCTATTTAATAAGTAAGTATAGTATAGGCTAACAAATCTTTTTATGGGAGTTTAGGAACAAGATGTACAAAGAATGATAAAAAATTTAACAGACGGTTTAAATAATAAAGTAGACGCCATTAGATTAGAAGATGTGTCAGAAAGCTTTCAAAAACGCATAAATGCTCTGGCTATTAAAATGAAACAAATGAAAACTATAATGGAATCAGAAGCACCTATCCCCGCAGGGACAAAATTGTATATAAATTTTCTTATATTTTTGTTATAAATAATGATTGATATAAATCTATTTTCTATCATTAGACAAATTGCTAAATGTATTTCTTGTGAAAGACCCACTAAAATTCATAAATTTTCGTAAGTTTAAAATAACAAAACCTTCAATAAATAACAACTATAATATTACTTAATAATTTAAAAATTTTCTATTTAGGAAGTTTTTGTAATTAGATTTGTTTTGTCTCGCTATTATTAGTATGAAGAATTAATAGAAAAAGTGCAACCCATAATAGAAAAATTTGAAAACGATGATTTAGGAGACGTAAATAGTTCTAATCTAGTGGGACAAGTTATGAATTGCCGATTAGCATTGAAAAAATTAGCAGTAGATGTTAAAAAACAAAAAGATACTCTTGAACTGTTACAATGTGATTTAAACAAGCAAATAGATAAAACAGAAATGCTTATGTGTGTTCAAGAAAGAGGATTTACTCCAGAGGACAAAGAAATTTTCTATGAAATGCAAAAACGGTTAAAGAATGTGGAAAAAGATTGTGAACAGATTGAAGCCATAGAAGTATTATTGATAGAAGTATTATCAGAACCAGATTTATATAACTTACGTTGGTATAGTGGTCGCCCGATATAGTGAAAAATTTAGTTGATTTTTGTTATTCTTTACGTATATAGTGAATAATTTAGCTTAGTCCTTTGAAAGTTTAATATATCGATAATCCACTGTAAAATTTAAAGATACAGCTTAGGACCTTATTCTACGAGGTGCCATACTTAAAATCAGTATGTAAGCTGTATTGTTAATTGATGTAACGAAAAGACTTCTTTTATATTATAGTTAGGACTACAATAAATCTAAACCTGGTTCTGGTTATTAATATATTGATGAAATATTTTTAATATCATTTAATGTTTTTTTTTAATTTTATTATATTCTAGGAAATGCAAAGTGCAATTTCACAAATAAAATTCATCAAGGCTAATAAGGATGAAACTGAAAACGCACTTAAAAATGTAATTTTATTTTGGAAGATATATTATATATTAATATATAAAATTATCAAAATATTTAATTTAATTTAAATTGTATTGAAGAAAGCAGATATTCAAGATGTGAATGAGAAAGTTAGCAAGAATGATTATGATCTTATGTTGAACGATGTTACTAATGGCTTGCAAGAGTTGATGACTAAATTTGCTTCTCAAGTATAAAATTGAATTATATAAGAATCTGACAAATTACTATTATTATATCTATGCAATTATAATGTGAAATATTAATAAATAATCTATTTAATAAGTAAGTATAGTATAGGCTAACAAATCTTTTTATGGGAGTTTAGGAACAAGATGTACAAAGAATGATAAAAAATTTAACAGACGGTTTAAATAATAAAGTAGACGCCATTAGATTAGAAGATGTGTCAGAAAGCTTTCAAAAACGCATAAATGCTCTGGCTATTAAAATGAAACAAATGAAAACTATAATGGAATCAGAAGCACCTATCCCCGCAGGGACAAAATTGTATATAAATTTTCTTATATTTTTGTTATAAATAATGATTGATATAAATCTATTTTCTATCATTAGACAAATTGCTAAATGTATTTCTTGTGAAAGACCCACTAAAATTCATAAATTTTCGTAAGTTTAAAATAACAAAACCTTCAATAAATAACAACTATAATATTACTTAATAATTTAAAATGTCTTCAGATACGTTAGAAGTTCACCTTTTGAAATAAATGAATTAAAAATGAATTTGAATGATTCACCAATTGTTACAATTAATAATAAAAAGTAAATTATTTTATAAAATTCTAATTCTTTAAATAATATTTTCTTTATTTATTTACTTTATTTTTTTATTATTTAGTTTTGTTCCAAATACAGAATACACTAATTTAGGAAGAGCTGCTGGTGGATTTTACACAACATTCGATTCTGAAACCAGAAAATTTCCATCAATTAATGTATTTTTTTTTTAAATTATAATTCAATATTTATAAGATTTATTTTATATCTTAATGTTTTTTCATAATATTAATTATATTTTCTAGAAAGAAAGAAATTTTTCTGGTCACTATAAATAAAGAAACAAAATAATATCTACACAAATATGAATGTTTGAAAATTAAATGCTGTAAAATTGATTGTAATAAAATAATGTTAAAAAAATTATTATTATTATATTGAATTTTTGAATTAGAACTGAATATATTTACAGTAAATATAATTTTCCCCCCTTTCCAGGTCCTATATAAAACAGGAACGGATCTAGAGGGAGAGATACGCAACTGTAGGGACGATTGTCCCATCTTTCCCTCTAGTTTTTTATGACAACAGGAGCTTCATTGTTTTTCAAATGTTTATATTTTAACATTTTTACCATTACTTTTCAATTTGCTACATTTTAATATTGTTTATGTATGAATAGGGGATGTTGTAGTTCTATTGTTTCCTCCTCTATAATCCTAAGCTGATAAAATTGAGAATTTCAATTAGCAATTCCAACTTCTAGAAGTTTACGACGATAAAACAATGTTCTACTTATTATCGTAAACTTTTGGATGTTAGAATTGCTGATTGAAATTCTCAATCCTATTAGTTTAGGATTATAGAGGAAGAAACAATTATTTATGTAGTTTATTTTAAGTAATTATAAAAGGTTGTATAACTTTAATATATTATTCATTTTATTACATGAATTAAAAATCGCTTCCTTAAGATTCGTTCCTAGATTCTCCTTTGATATGAAATGAATGAATAAAAAATAATTAAATATTTTATATTAATTATGCAACTTAAAATTTATATTAATTTTTTAAAATTTCAAAATTTATTTACTGGAATTTTCCACAAAATATTGAATAAATTCCCTAAATTATTTCGGATCGTTATGAAGTAATAAATTGGAATTTGTATTTTTTTAAAATGATACCTGTAGTATAATCTCTTTCTTTTTTTTTTTTAAGTTGTAAGGTCGACAACCTATTTGGCACAACAATGATTTCTTACACAAGCCTGCTATCTATGGGATACGTTTTATCTCAATAGTTCAGTTCAAGCACGGAGTGGAGAGTTCTTACAAAGTTGCCTTTGCCATGTAATACGGTTAGAAGTTATATCCACGTGATTTGATTATTGATTATTAAGTCGATGAACACTTGGATTAAAGTAACAGGAAGCTAAATGTTGTACAAAGTTGTATTTGTTGTTTTAGGAATACTTTTCCACATATCAGATTCTTCAAGTAAGTATGCTTCACATGTTTTATCTGTCTAGTTTCATAACTTTAACTGCTATACTAAAACTGTGATTTCATTTGTTAACTTTTAAGCAAATTAGATAATTTGCAAATACAGTAGTTTCTATCTTATGCAGGACTTCAAGCTTTTCATCTTCTCCAGCTTTATATACTGAGTATTTATACGATTTATTTCACCTTACAAATGCAAAAAACCTTGCTTATTTTAGTAGAAATTAAATGCTTTAATCCTAGTTATTTATCAATTTGTAAATAATAAGTAATAAAAAAAATTGATAATAAAAAGATTGATTTTAATCTAATAAAAGATACTTTTAATTAATTTAATACCCATTAAAATTTGCTATTTGTACTTAAACAAATAAAATAATTATCTAATGACATATAAAATGTTGTCATAATTTATATAATTATTAAATCTCTGTTTTATTTATTTTAATTTATAATATACAAAATACTTGTGAGATTTACGCATAAATTATAATTTTCAAAAAACATAATTTTTAAATTTACTATTATTATTATTTATTCAAGTAATTATTTAATATTATAGTCAAGAAATGGGTTATCTAAGGGACATAATTTACATCAAACTCGATTTTTGATAAACAAATTCCATGTTCGATTGAACTTCTACCCTGCTGTTTCCAAGAGGTTAAAGTTCACTTTGAAGATGTTTAGAAAATGGCCAACATTTTAGTGCTTTATCTTAAATAATATCGATATTGACAAATCTTTTCAAGGAAATTTTCTGCATTAGATAATTTTACTTAAAATGACTTTAAATGTTGAAAACTTATAAGAAATTTATAGAAAAAAAATTAATTATTAATTAATTAATTAATTTTTATTAAGTAATAGCATCAACTTATATTTTCATATTTGTTTTCGATTTTTTTTTTTAAATGAAAGAGATAAATATTATCAAAAATATGTCTCGAACACAATTTAAATATTTAGCGATAACATATGATAATAAGTCCTCGAAACCCAGATTGCAAAATAATATGTCAAAAACAAATTTGCTCATCTATATCACTTTTGAAATATAGAATTTAAGTACAATGTAAGCTTTATTTTAGCATTAAAGCATTGATAATAATTAACATAGTTCATTCCTATTTTAACTGCTCAAAATGAGATTGGATTATTGATCTTAACTATAATATAAATACTTTTTTTTTTTTAACCAAACTTTACAAAAAGCGATTCTCGAAAGAAAAAAAAAGAAACAATAATAAATTAATTAAACTTTTCTTAATGAAAAATTAAATTTAAAATAATTTGGAATAGTATTTTTTAACCTTTTTTAATCTTACAAACTCCTTTAATCTATTGGAAGATAGAGTTTTATGATTAAGAGTCATAGTGATAAAAAACTATTAATGTCTAGAGGTTATTTTTCTCTCAGTGAAACTAATGTAGAGACTTTATAATATTCATTTCATATAATGTCTAGATTAAAAATTTAGATTAATTTTTTAATCTAACGAATGTAAGTTGAGAAAAAAAAGTGATCAAGAAGGTGCGAAAGAAGGTGCTTTTTATGGAACGGCGCTCAATCTTTCTTAAAAGTTACCATCTAAAAGCAAATGAAAAAAGATAAAGATTAATTAAATTTATAAGAATAAAAATTATTAGGAAATATCGTTTCGAATCATTTATATTTATTTTATTTCATTAACAAAAGCTTAATTAAATGCTATTATTTGTAATTCGAGAAGCATTTTTAATATTTACGAAGAGTTTGGTTCGAAACTTATATTAATTATTATTATTAAACTTTATGTGGATAGCTAATGGGCTATTTACGTAATTTTTTAATAGTAATTAGAGTTAGCATAAATTCAAAAATAAGACATTTAAGAAAAGTTCAGACAGATTTAACAAAGTACATTTAAAAAGCAAACAATTTAAATTGTACTCAAAAGGGAAATTATTGATAAAAGAAGGATGGGAGAACAATACAGTTCAATGAAATACTTCCCTCCCAAATGGAAGATAGTTGGCAACATTATGTCTTAGGGATTGACTCTTACAAGAATCTACTGTATTAATAAATCGACTGCTGAATGATTGAGACAGTGAAGGTAGGCTATCAGTCTGCGACCGAATCCGAGTCGATTCAGAAATTTTTAAGGATGGATTGCTAGGGATATGTCGGATCTGTCCCTTATCACCAGCTAAACTCGACGTTCGGATAGCCGAGCGGTTAAGGTGGCAGTACACCACTCTGGGAGAACCGGCATCAGTTTCCCAGAGCGTAAACTGGGAAACTGATGGAACCACTCCCTGAGAAATTCCTGGGTTTTTTGACCGTTCTCAGAAGTATCCGGATATGTCGGGCTTCCTTCCTCATCACCCGGCCACCTATTTATTATAAACCTGGTCGAATCTAAAATGGGCATGCCCAAAGGCCCTCTTAGTAGCCATCGACGCACCTTACAGCCGTCGTGCAATAGTAATCAAATTCTGCACGCTGTGCAGAAATTTAAATAAAATCATTAAGCCTACATCATAGCGCAAAGCTACATCATAGAACAGCTGTTCCATCGCAAATGTTGCATGTTGACGGCCGGATGGTCGAGCGGTCAAGGTGGCAGCTTACTGCTTTGGGGACACGAGATCAAATCCGGACGGGTCGAAAAATCCCAGGAATTTTTTGGGGTTGGTCCGACCGGATATATCGGCCCCATCCCTCCTTAACGGCCGATTCATTGTGGACCTGGCCGAACTCATAATGTGTTTGCTAAAAGAGCCCCACTTACTGCCCACAGGGCGAAAAAAGTTTGAAAATATCCTAAAATCGTGACCACGCTAAAATCTAACATTGACACCAATAGCAGTGCAAGTACTAGTAGATATACAGCCAAAAATAGTAACGAGCGAGGTTGCCAAAAATGATTTTGCAGACTATAATTTTTTCACTCTCACGTGGGCCATAGGAGAACTTTTAATCATTCTCTTTATCGTTTCGGCCAAACCTATAATGGTTATTTTGTTTTTAACTNAAGTCATAATGTACTTTATAAAAGAATCAAATGTCTTATTTTGTAGAAAATTGAATTTCTGATTTTTATAGAAACGAAATGAAACTCTTGTGAACTGTCAAAGGTAGAGATTATTAGGCACCCCAAGTTTATCTAGATTGTCCTATGCACTTATGCGGTGTCCACCGAAAAATTTACGAAAAGAATCCAAATGAGATAATATAAGTCTCTATTTCTGCAACGAATTTTCTTACAACCTATATAATTCAAAATTCAATTAGAGGAAGGATCTCAACGTTGAATCTGCTTTTTTATTTTCTTTCTTTCCGCATTGCATCGATTTCATTGGACGTCATGAAAATAAATAAAAACAGTAAGCCACTGGTCACAGACCAGTGACTTACTATTTTTATTTATTTTCATGCCGGGCACTCAGTATATTCTATAAAATCGGATTTTACTGTTATAAATGTGAAAAAATTTTAATAAACAAAAGCGAAAGCTATACTATGATGTCATATAACAATTTCTTATCTTGTCGCGTCAGTTTATAAATTATACAGTATGTGAAATAGTTTAGTTAAAGCCAAAGACTAAGATAATAATTTTCATATTTTATTGCATGTTTTGAATATTTCAGAAGGGAAATTACTCATAAACCCATCTATATTACCAATACAACGACGATAATCAGTGCTGTATCTAGGCATTTTTTTTAAAACTCATTCCGCCCTGTGGGCACTAAGAGGGCCTCTTTTAGCAAGCCCATTATGGGTTCGGCCAGTCCCACAATGGTGCGGCCGGGTGATGAGGGACGGGGTCCGACATAACCGGACAGACCACTCCCGAAAAATTCCTGGGGATTTAGTGACCCATCCGGTTTCGAACCCGGAGCGGTAGGATGTTACCTTGACCGCTAGACCATCAAGCCGTAAGTAGCTAGGCAGGGACAAAGGACTCTAAAGTGGGTATTAAAAAATTAAATGAATTATATTTTTTTCATTTAATTTTTTAATCATATTTAATTTTAATCATATTTTTTTCAGCTGTGGGACAAAGTTTCATTGCCGTTATATTTTTGGCTAAAGTTAAAAAATAAGCCACAGTTTTTATCGTATTTGTTTTTTCATATTTATATTTTATATTTCTGTAGGACACATGAAAATTATAGCATTGACGATAATTATCTCTGACTACAAAATATAAGAACTCTGAGCATTGACGGATTTTTCCCAAAATTGCAATTTTCAAACGCCACCTGGCGGTGTTTTTCAAAAAAGATTTGGCCACGTGGGTAACGAGTGATTAGAGATTTTTTACAAAAAAGTAGAGCCATATAAAAGTAAATCAGAAAAAAATATAAAGTTTCCCTTATAAAATGAATATAATTAAAACAATCGTGGATACTATGACCGAACCTTAAATAATCCATACAACACTAAAAATAAAACAGTCTAATGTTAGTTTGCCTCCTTTATTTATACAGTAGATATGTACTGTACGCTTATGGAACAACTGATGCTGAACTCGAAGAGGAATACGTTCTGTAAAAAGAATGTATGTTATTAAAGACTCGATTTATTCTCTTCGGGTTCAGTTTCAGCTGTTCAAGAAGTTCTTGTTATTTATTAGCTAAAATGCTATATAAAATGCTAGTCCAGTGTTTTCCAATAGGAGCAGAATTGGTGGGCAAAAATAATACAGTATTTTGGTACAAAATTTTAACTCTAAAAAAGTTTTGTAACTGGGTGACTTTTTATTAAGTTTAAGATTCAAATGTACTAAAAAGGGATGAGTAAATCATTCTAATGACTGATTATTTTTCATGTAAATGAATTCATCAATACAAACAATTTAGATCATTCACTATTTAATATAAATAATATAAGTATGATGATTATTTTTTCCCCTTAAAATGAATTGTAATGAAGATAATAAATAATAAACTATTTTATTTTAATATGTTTTATTATTTTATATTTTTATTATATTGATTTTTAAGGAACTTTATGATCAATAATTAAATCTGAAGTTTGATACAATTTTTATTTATAGGTGTTTTAGAACCTGTCTATGACCACTGTTGCAAACTTGGAAGTTCTGAAGCTCAGAAATATGCTACTTGTGCTGGTTTTCCAGTTCCTATTACTGGAATTCCTTCAGTTTTTCAGGCCATCTGTCTTATAGCAGTAGAAATATGCTGTGTTCGAATTCATAGGATAACAAATTGTAAAAATGGAAAGGATGCTGCCAAATTAGGACAGGGTTGTGTTATTGTTCCTGTTGTAGGAGGAGAAGCTCATAAAGTAAGATTTTATAAATTCTATGTTTATAAATTTTGAATAATTTATTTGTTTTTTCTGTAAAGTAAAGCTATTGATTTTAGGATTGTTGTGAAGGATGCAAACTTGGTTTAGCTGCTGCTAAAACAAACAATGAATGCAAGTTTAAAAACTTTTCATTTGGAACACCATGGGATGAATCTTATTATGATTGCTGTATTCAAGCTTTGGATAATAGTATTGATAATACAAATAAAATAACTAATCCCGGTATGATTTTCTTAATTATATTACTTAATTACATATATAAAATGTAATTTCCTTGATTTGATATTAGATGGACAAGATATCAACGAGTGTGCCTTGTTTCCTAATCAGTTATGTGCTCATATATGCATAAACACTCATGGAAGTTATCGTTGTGAATGTAATCCTGGTTTTGTCTTGCATTCAAATGGAAAATCTTGTGTTCAAGGTAACTTTATTAAATTTCAATTAAGTATAATTAAATAAAAATTTTGATATTTTTACTTACATATAAGCTAAAGTTTTGAATCATTAATTAATATATTAACTTAGGAAAGTTAGAAATGTTAAAAATACACTTATTTTTAAAAAATGTTTCTTCCTTGTTGTAATTTACAAACATTCAACTAAATATACAAAACTATGTTCCTTTTTTGAAAAGTTTTGCTGATTGCAAAATGTAGCAACAGAATTTAAAGCTGAAATACTTGAGTAGCAAAATTAACATTACAACGGATATTAATAACTAACTGATTGAGCCTATTATCATTTTGGTTAGTCATGATTAAAGGAGGTAATGCACATTGCATTCTTAATTTTGTGTTTAGGTTGTCATCACATCTTGAAACATTATTGATAGAAAAAGTAACATGTTATCAATTTATGCAAAGTCCACATTAATACAAAAAGACTATGGTCCCATGAACAAAGATATTTTCATGTTAATTCATTCAGTTAATACAAAATATTGACATGTAATACGAATCCTGTTGTGGTCCCATGAGTTCAAAAACAATTATTACATTATTTAATACAAAGCACACTGTTTCCTGCTTTCCTGACATCACATGAGTTAAAGTGGCAATGTACAAGCCACATCATAATAAGGGCATATTTTTGACTTGAATATCAACACAATGTTTACACTATCAGTCATCATTATTGTTGGCAATGTAGGTAATTTCCTAATCAATGTTAGATACGCTAGAAAAAATTAATAATAATAGATGCATATTGTAAAACTATTAATAATTCAGTTAAAATTTAAATTATTAATTACAAAAGAATGGAAATGAATTTTAGTTATTAACTAATTTTAAAACATATGTCTTTTACAGAGAATTATAATTATCAAAGCTTATAATTTATCTGTCAATAGCTTTATTAAATTTTCTGTGATAATTAACATATTTATGTAAACATATTTTCATTTTTTTTTCTATGTTTAACAAGAAAACACAATCAATGCATTACTTTCCTATTATATAAAAATAACTTATTAAAAAACCAGATTGAAAATATTACTGCTGCGCATTATTTTCTATTATAAGATGCATTGTTGAGCATTGCAATGAAACTGCCATAAAATTAAATATGAAAATTGAAAAGAAAAATGGAAATTATTCAGATAGTAAGAACTTTTATTCAATTGAAATTTGCTCTTAGAGAATGAATGATATTGTAACTTTCCTGAGAATGAAAGCATTATTTTTTAATTTTTATGTATAAATTTTTCATTAGAAATGTTAATTAATAATTAATTTAATACCTTATCAGAATCATCAAATAACAAATGTGATACAAATAATCCTTGTGAGCATATTTGTGTGGATACAGGGACTGCTATTCAATGTGAATGCCATGCTGGATTTCATTTATTACCTGATGGGCAAAACTGTGCAGGTAAATAGATTTGAATAGTATATTATTCATATTTTTACTCTGCAAATATTTAAATACTTTAAAATTACTTTTTACTTATATGCAATTTTAATGTCATATTAATATATTTAATTTCTTCTTTCTTATTTATATTTTTATTTTTATGCAAGTGATTCTTTTTTATTGTAGTAGCACTTTTAAATTTTTGTAATACATTCTGTTTTTACTGCATATATAATTTATGTACTTTTATCATTTTTTTAAAGTATTTTAAAGTAGTTTTTAATGGGAAATAGTTGCTGCTTTTTACATTAATGGGAGAAAGCTATATTTAATATCAGCATTATCATAATTTTAAAAGAATAAAGAATTTTTTGCTTAAATGTAATTAACATTTTGATAAGATGTCAAATATTTTTTAAATTTCAAAATTTTCAGAAATCTGTTCCCTCTCAGTATTATGATTTATAATAGAATTCTATAATAATAAATTATTGATTCAAATAAACAGAATTTATTTAATAATTCACTTCTTATTTTTTATTTTCACTTATTATAAAAGTTTTTCTTAAAAATTTTATTATTTGTTGGTTTTCTCAAGATAGAATAAATTTTCAAAAATGCTTAGTTTAAAAAATATTCGACTTCTTAAAATTACAATTACATTATTGATTATATTACATAAAAGTTGATTAAATAAGAAGGCATAAGAAATGAATCATATTTTAAAATGTTTACATTTATCAAATAAATATTATTGAATTGTTTATTTATTAGATATTGATGAATGTGCTCATAGAACAGATACATGTAAACGAAACATTGAAATTTGTCAAAATACTGTTGGTGGCTTTGAATGTGTAGAAATTAATTCTGGAAATTCAGCATCTAATTGTTATTTAGGATATTATCTAAATCAGGAAACTAATACATGTGATGGTAAGTTTATTGCTTGTATAATCTTAAATCATGTTTTCTAAAAATTAAATATTTCCTATTTTGAATTATATTAATTTTAACAATAGAAAATTTATTTTAATGCAAAACAACTTCAAATAAATACAGATATTTTTTTATTAATAGCATACTATTATTTAATTAAAACTGGAACTATGCAGTTAAAAAATAAAAATAATGTTTTATATTTCTGAAAGTAGCATTTGATACTCTATGATGAATTAATTCTTCAATTATTCATTAATAAATTCCAATACATCATTGTAGGATTTAAATAGATCAAATTTAAAATACAAAATTTTTAAAGCAAATGTTCCAAACTTGTTTACAAATTTCAGTTGAATTTAAATTTAAATTTTTAAAAAAAACTTAACAATCTTAATAGAAAAATAATATTTGTTTGTAGAAATGGGCTGGCAGAATTACATTTTAATAAAACATAAAATTCATCTGGATACGAGTCCAAGTTTACTTGCCATGTCTAATCACCAGGAACAACTATTTCCATTGCAGAGACAACCTTTCTTTAGAGGCTATGCCTCTGCACGAATATGTAAAACAGTTTAAAATGTCCACAGGTGACAATCCCAACACAATTAAAAATATAATATTTGTTTGTAGAAATGGGCTGGCAG